GGTCAGAAGAAAACCACAAGGATCTGGTGTCACCTTTCCTCCGATGTGCTGCACAAAAGCTAATAAGACTGCAGTAGGAATTCCTATAAGATAATAGGCTCCCAGATTAACATATGCCCCAATCTTTTGCTGCCCACTTCCTCTTATGACACCTAAATTTTTAAATCAAAGTCGCTTCTCTTCAATAAATCGGCTACAAAATATTTTCTTTAAGATGAGAAACTTGGGCATGCAGAATAGTTGAGTGTTTCACATTGATACTTCACCAATTGCACTTATATATCATGTTAATCTTTTTTTTTTCTTTCCGAAATCAGTTTTATGGTATAAGCCTGGTATTATATGAAGCTTTGGAAATCGAAGATTATAACTGAAAATTCTATTGTTATGAGAGAAGAAATTGAGAGAAATAGCAAGAACCTGAAAGAACAGATTGAGGTCCATCGAAAAAGTGGGATAGTGCAACAAAAATCAACATTTCTCCAACATACTTCACAACCTCTTTTTCACTGCTGTAACAGTAACCCCAAACGTTTCGAGCCAATATCATGACAGCAGCAACCACAATGCCTTCAGTAACAATAACGGATAGTGCAACGCATATTGCTATACACACAATTCGTGGTTGCCCAGCTCCCAATTGATTTGAAACTCTTGTACTAACAGACAATGTACAAGTAAAGAACATAAAAGAATTTATGAGACAATACTCACGATAGAAGCATGCAGTACTTAAATCTAGCTGTGAACTCACTTACCTTACGGTACCACTGAAAGCCAGGGGAATCATGTAGACCATTAAACATGTGTTAAAGCTGGAAATGTATAACAATCGATTAGTAATTTCTTGGTTTCTGCTGAATTTTCATTATCTACTAACAAGAATTTGTATTTTCGTTAAGTCATTCGTTAGCATCAAATGTAAAACCTGATTGAGAGGGCTGAGGTTTCAAGCTTTGGATTAGGAAGAAAACCAGATAAGAGCACTATCATTTCGAACGACCAGACTTCTAAGCTGTTCACAGACATAAAAACAAATAACATATCCATTCTAAGTCTTTAATGTTCCAATGGTGAGTCGACTAAAGATTACCTGACCATTACAGCTGAAGGAATTGATAGTTTTAAAAAATTGGGAATTCCATGAAAGGCCTCCTTTGAGAATCCAGTCCATGTGAGCTTGCAAGAGGGAGAGACTCTGACGTAAAGACCCAATAGCAATGCATTGATTGAATATGTGACAGAGGTTGCCAAAGCAGCGCCTCTGTATCCAAGGCTGGTCTTGTATACCAGAACCCAACAGTTAAGCAAGTGCACAAGCGTTGCAGCTCCTGTGCTAACAATCAAAGGAACCACATTGTTTTGAGTTTGCAGGAATCTGGCATGCGATTCTAGGATTGCGTAAGCGAAAAGGCTAGGTATCAAGAAACAAGCATAGTTGCCAGCAGCAGCTGATATTTCTGGATCTTGACCCAAGAATTCAAGAATGTGGCCAGCATTGGCCCATACAAATGCAAGGGGAATGTTTACGAGAAGAAGAACAAGCATTGCCCTCTGCATGTGTATGCCAAGCATATGATACTGTTTTGCTCCATAAGACTGGCCACAGAACGTGTCTAACGCGCTACCCATTCCTCTCTATTCAAGAAATGAAGAGGAGAAATTTAGGGAAAAATGGAGCCTGATATTATCGTCATACACAAAAGTAACAAAAAAGTATAATTTTTTTATATAAAAAAAATGGACAATAACAGGGGAAGCCATCTTACCGTCAAGCTCAAACCAGTCACCGAAGCGAATGAAGTGGCCATGGAGGCACCTGCGAGGGCCAGCTCTCCAACATGACCAACATACATGACTGAAATAAGCTGCA